TTATTGTATAGTATTTAACCACTGAATTTCTTGTGTTCATGTGAACCCCTTGGTGAAAGTCCCCTTTTTCATGGATGTGTAGTTATATGATCTTTTAAAATGTACAGATATTTTGCTATAAGATTGGTGCAGTTTTTTATGGTTTTTACACTTCTCTTTAATTCCTACCTAAGCCCCTGGGTAATATTGTAAATATTGTTTAAAAATGCTCATCTGACTATGCTACACAATCTGAATGTTACTTTTAACTTATAGTTTTTTTAAATATATATATATATATTTAACTACAAGGACATTTTAAGAGTCAGCTACCACATTTCACAGTAGTATGCCTATTTACAGACCCCTTTAAACTGTCACCCACCGGCACATTCATAAATGTATAGTTTTAAAAGAACATGCCAAAATTGTTGTCTTTTTGTTGAGTCAACATTCATTTTGATGACTATTAATTTGATCATAAGAATATTGGACATTTTATCAAATAAAGCAGCTGTTTTCCAAAGGTGTGCATTTGCTTAAAAATTGATCATTTCCCAGTGCAAAATGGACAGTAATGTTGGCATATTCTTTTGTCTATTAATGGTCCTGCTTCTTAGCAATATTAGAAATGTTTTATGAAAGCAATTCATGTTACTTTTCTGGTCTTTTCATGCCATTTGAGCAAATAAACTATTTACACTACTATTCTGTCATATGCAGTAATCCTTGAATTGTGTTTTTTGACTTTTTTGATAGACTTTAATCATCTTTAAAAACTGATTGTTTTATATTTAGAAAAACTACTCCTTCATATGCTTTATTACTTTAATACAACGTTCTACATCCAGCTGAGAACATGAGCCTCTCATACAGTTTCCCACATGCTGTGGTCAAAGGACTGTGGGATACTGTTAATATTTTTAAAATATCTTAACCATTCCACACATTTAGAATGTTAACACATCTTAACTATGGCAGGAAAGATTTGGTTAGATTTAGAGCATTTTGTTATCAGTGGTTTTTGTTGGGGATGTAACCAAGGCCCACATGTTAGGCAAATGCTCTACTTCTAACTCAGAATTAAGTATGCTTTCACCCAGTGTTCATGAACAAACAAACACAAATCAATGTAATGCCATGACCCATCTGAGTCAATTTCTACTGGACACAAATGTAAACAAGTATCTGGTTGCTAACTTTGCTTTTGGTGTTCAACATACATTTTGTAAAATTGGGTAATTCCTGCAGAATTAGCAAAATTTGCAATAGCAGATGAATACTTTTAGAATGCTAGTCTATTCAGTATATGATAAAATTCTGTTCTTTCTGTTTTGGATCTTGTCTTCCCCCCAAGACAGGGTTTCTCTGTGTAGATCTCGCTGTCCTGGGACTTGCTTTGTAGACCAGGTTGACCTCAAATTTGGGAGATCTGCCTGGCTCTGCCTCCTGAGTGCTGGGATTAAAGGTGTGGGCCACCACACCTGGCTTTCACTCTAGTTTTTATTAGATATACAAATGTAAAATACAGGATTCATTTTCCATCTCTTTAAAGTTGTTGGAATCCATTTTCTCGATGTGAAGATTTAAAGAAAGACTTGAAGAAAGAACCAGCACGAGGTTGTGTTGATAGATTTTTGGGGAGAGTAAGGTTTAACTTTTTATGTAAAGTGAGCATTGCACTAAGAGTTGTGGGCATTTCAACCCACAGCAAAGAACTGCTATGGGCAGACTTAAAAACGGCAACACAAATCCAACTTTTAATAAAATATGCCATTTTTCTATTTACAAAAGGTCTACTATTAAAGCTATGAGGTCCTTTACATCAAGAAAATATATAAACAGAAGTAAAAATCTGGTGATTGCATAGAAAAGAGAAACTTTTTCCCAATTACTCACCTTTTTGAGTAAGTCCTCTGTTCAGTTGTAGAGGAAGGCGAGCAGACTAACACCTACCCAAAATGTTAATAGTCAGGATCAAAAAAACAAAAAATTATCAGTAACAAATAGATATTCTAGTAACAATCACAGCATAGTATCAAAAAATGGCTTAGCTTGATTGTGATCTGCTCCATACCCCAGACAGAAGAGCAGGGCTGTGGGCTGGCCTGTTTCTCTGAAATGTAAACATTAATTGCACTAGGGTAATCACTGTCAAAGATCAATTACAGAAGATGACCTTGAATTACAATCCACTCAATTGCAGCTGTGAGTACAGCAGGGTTAAGGATAGCATCTTATTAAGGAAATTAGAGCAGAAAAACAAGCTAAAATGGAGGATAGCTAAGCAAAGAATGTGGCACCTTTTATTATTAATCTGAGGTGAGATCCAGTAACCGGAGTGCTATGTTACCAGGACTCATCCTCTTTATAGACACCCTAAAATGTTTGCACCTTATAAGTCAGCATTTGATGTTCTCATTAAGCTTTGGGCACTTTCTAAGTCATAGTCGCTAGGCTTATTTTTAAGTTTTGAATGAGGCATCAGTTCTGAGTTTATGGTTTAACTGCAATGATGCCTGTTTAAGCCTTTTAATATGAGTACATGTGCCACATTTGTTAAGTACCTACTATGCGCCAGGTGCAGTCCTAATTAAGAGATATATCCCAGGTAAGGAATTTGTGTGACTACCAGTGGTATCAGAATAAATGATGAATTAAACAGAATAACCATTGTTAGCCTGGGATATGTCATCAGCAGAAAACATAAGCCTCTCATAGTTCCACAAAAACAACAACAAAAAAAAACCCCACAACATTATTTTTCTTTCCCTTTTTGTAAATAATCAAGTATAGTTTAACCTAGAGGAGAAAGGCGCATTCAATTAAAAATCTATCTGGTACTTAAGAGATTCTTCAAAAGAAAATTATATTTAATATTATATATAAATATATTTAAGGAATTAGTCTAGTTTGTTTTGATTTCTAGATTGTTTTTAAAACTTTAAAAATTATGTTTGGTAAAATTCTACAATCTTAAAGTCATTCTTCATAACTCTTCCCTAAGTATTATCTGATTAGAATGCTTACATAAAATGTGAATCCAAATTTTCTCTTCTGGATGCAAAATGTCTAATGAGTACATATCAACTTTTAAGCATGGAGTAAAAGCAGGCGCATTCAGCAAATGCTTAGTAAAGCATAGAAATGAGTGAAAGCCGTCAACTACAGTCTGAGACCACACACAGTTCACAGAAAACCATATACAGACTTGATAGTTGCTATTACCACTCAAAATGGATTGCCTTACTCTAGGACCATCCTCTTTCATTTCATAGCTATTCAACATCAGATCCCACTTAAGAAAAATCGAAAAGATGAAGTGATTTTAACTAGTCATTTATCAAACTTACCAGAAGGCACAGAAAGCTTTACATGTTGAAAAAAAAATAGTAACATTGCAAGAAAATGAGATCCATAGTTTAGTCACATATTTAAATTCATTTGGGAAGACTGCAATGATCCCCATGCTGAACTGGCCATACTAACTTCTCTTACAAATCTTCCCAACATAAAATTGATGGAATAGGAGAAAATAAGAATATTAAATATTCTGAGACCACGATTTTGCCCAATATTAATTTTTAAGCAAGCTTAATAGTGATGCTGAGAAAAATAAGGTCTCAACATTAGAGTCCTAGTCATAACTGAAATGTATAAACAAATTAAATGCTTCCCCATTTGAATAAGTCAGATTCAATTCTAGAAGAACAAGTATTCAAAGATATATCATATCTTACCAAATTTAAGATTTAGAAACATGATCTTCTGGATTTAAAATATCCAAAGATTTAGTACCTTCACACTAAGTTTTTCTAACAACTAAAGTTGTTTAATGGGACAATTAAAAGAAGACAATGGAATAGACTTGATTTACATATTTTATAGCAATGATATTACATTTCCAGTTTCCTACAGTAAAAATTCAGTACACTGATATAAAACTTCTATTTAAATCAACAGGGTTCTGTTATGATATTGATCTGTTCACAGTAATATTTACAAGAACTGCCTTTAAAAATCTGTTTAATCAAGATAATCACTTTTTTTTGCTATGTCTGGTTTGCATAGGTTAATGCAGGGATATTTTGCAATTTATAATGCTTTATAGGGATCTGAAAATTTGAAATTATAAATACAGAAATCTATTTTGAGGACATGCTAAAACACATCAATAGCTTTTTATTCAAATTTATTAAAAACTTAAGGTTGTACTTTAAAAGCAAGTTTTACAGATTCTAATTTCGCTTGTGAAACATTATAGGTTTCCCTCCAATATCATATGCATGATTTAAAGACTACCTCTGACCTCCACATCAGGTGCTCAGACTCATTAGCAATCTTGACTATTGCTAACCTGGCACCTCTGAAAATTAAATCCAAGGAAATTCTGTTGCCAAACTTAGGTATTTTGAGTAACATACAATGGAGGAAGGACTAAACTCAAGCAAGAAATCTGATTATTTAACGTTTTCTCAAAGATAGTGATCTTACTCAAAGTCATGTCTTACTTCACAACAGAAAATGACATGGCAAGGAGAAGGTTAGAAACAAAGAATCTCCCTTTTTTGAGTTTTTTAAGAGTGGCCACTAGATTTAATTAAAACACTGGACAGGATGGAAAAATAGTTGTACTGATCTGTCCCAACTCACTTAAATTAATGAAACAATTTGTTTTATCTAAATCTCAGCTTGAAAGAGACAATCTCAGTGAGATCAAATGAAAAGAACAAAGATAACACCTAAGATGAAAGAGAAGACTAAGTGCTAAATTACACTTAAACAAAAACAAAAAACCATACACACACACACAAAAACACCCTCCTGCACTGAAGGAAAATAGTATAAACGACATTACTAACCTTCAAAAGTTAGCACGTACAGAGTATTCTATCTTTAAGCCATTGCCTTTCTAAAATATCCCATAGGAAATTTATAGATGAAAACACTTTTAAGGACCTGAAATGCACTAATTCATGTTCATAAATATTAAAAAAGAAAAGTAATATTGCTACCATGGGAAGGATGAAACAAAATTTCAGGGATTTATTATCTTGTAAATGATCATACAATTTCCTTAACGCTGAGTAGTTTGTGTAGAAATAAACACTAGTGCACACTATAAGAGAAGGTTTAATAATAGATAAAAATGTACAAAAATATTGAAATCAGAAATGTTTTAGACTGTGTACCATGGATTCAATACTTCTCAGTGAATAAGGAAGGCAATTTACAACCTCCTCAATGGAATTAAAAAAAAGTGAAAGAGAAAGATTGGATTAAAAATTCAAAGAAAATGTTTCAGTCAACATTGATTTTTCTCCCCCCTAACAAGGATATTTCAACTATCACTCAAAAGTTCGGTGGCACATTCTTTAGTAGGTCCTTAAGGCAATATATTTAAAGTAATTTACAATTTGATTTGATGTTAGCTATTTTAAAACATCACCTCAAAATAGATGCTCAAAATAATGCCCTCATAGCCTTTTTTAAAATGTATTCAGATGTTTCATAAAAAATAATGGTGGCTTTATTACAGCAGTGCTCATTAGCACCACCAGGTAAAGGTCTACCAAGTTTCCAGCAAAAACACCCATTTTTTAAGAGCTCACCATAAAAGATAACGTTGGCTTTAACCAGTTTAGTAGTGCACAAAAAAGCAGTCTAATCATGGGTTGCTGGTGCTTTTTTTGTACTACATTATCAAAAAAAATGTTCATTATATTGTCAAAATCCAACTTCTATAAAGTAAATCAAATCACCTCATGACTTAGAACAAAGTAGAGACGTCTGCAGCTATCAGTAAATTGCCACTTTTAATCCATCCTGCAGTGCCCTAGGAAAGGGTCACAGAAAGACAGTTATGACTGTAGGAAAATATGATTCTTGATACAGAATCAAGTTATTTTCAATTTCCTTTGCTTTTATAAAGTCCACAATAACAATACATAAATGCACTTTTTTTCCTGTGACACAATTAAAACCCAGTGTTATTTTGTAAATTGAACTTAAAATAATCCCTGGTCTGAATTAGACTTTAAATCATACTATAAACATATATTTGGTATAATTTATTGATCATCATCCAGTTGCTCCAAAAGTGTTCTTCTGCGCTTTTCTAATTCCCCTTCACTCAGTTCGCTGCCAGAAGTATCCCAGTTACCCTGCAAAGACATTCAGCATAATTATAGTTAAAGTTAACCCTGAAAATATTAAGAAAAAAAAATTAACTACAAACATTTCAAAGTAGACATCGAGTTTCATTCACTTAAACACATTTCACAGGGTTTTAAAACTCCAGAGCCCAACAATGGGTTATTAAGTATTCCTTGGATCTCATTAGAGAAAAATTCAAAGACTGGGATTATATATGGTACTACTTCAGTTTATGCTAAAATTTGTAATCAAGGAAAAATTGTATATACTAGTTTCTTTCCTTACACACAATTAAATATGAAACAATCCTAATTAATGGAAGCCAGATGCTCACTTCCTAGGCAGTATGTTCTTTGATAATTTTAAAGAGATTTTGGGTAAACACTTGCAATCTTACGCGCAAATAAGCAGGAAAGATTTAAATAAACAAGATTAATACTGCATCATTTCTGAGATACGCCCTTTGAAAAGTGGAGTGCACCTGTAAGATGTTTTGTTTAAACGACTGCCACAGAAGAAGTAAGTACAGAGAATAAGTCACTCTTTATGGAGGTCATGACAGATTCATTCAAAAGATTTAAAAAAAATGGGGTAGATCTGGGAAGAGCTGATGAAAAGTGTTGGATATAATCAAATTACATTGTAGAAAATTATTGAGTTATGAACAAGATGACTGTGGACCCTGATTTGAGCCTTCTAAATCTTACAGGGAGAAGGCAAGGCACAGTTGCACACATCTTCAGTTCCAGCACTCAACAGGCAGAGGCAAGTAGATCTCTGAGATCCAAGATAGCCAGGGCTACACAGAGAAACCCTGATAATTTGAAAACCTAGGACAAAGTGCACAATGTACTTCTTAGTGGTACTGCACCATTCAGACCACATCTTTCTTTCTGGGTTAAAGCGAAAAATATTTTGTGCTGTTAACTTTCTTTTTTAAGAAATATAAATCTAAAAGACTCAAATAGATGGTAGCTCATGAGGAGCAGTGAAGAGAATTTCATCCTTTCTTCAATGTTAGCAGACCCAAGACAAAGAGCCTGTTCTTTAAACAATTCTGTTTTAAACAGCATTTCTTTCATTTTTGTGCATACAGGAAACACATAATTCAAAGTACTTACAGAATCCTTTCCAGTCTTTTTCTTAGGTGATTTGTGTTTTGACTCTGATCTCTGTCTACTTCTGTCTTTTTCGCTTTCCCGATCTTTATCTTTTTTATCCTTCTCTCGTTCAGTATCTGATTCTGGAGAATCCTATGTAAATAAAAATGAACGTATCAGAATTTTGATAACATTCTGTTAAAAATAGATTTATGTAGGCAATATTTGAGAATTTCACATTTATTAGGTTAGGTGTATTTAGAGAGGTAAAATGTAATTTGTTTTTAAAGTTTTTTTGAGACAGGGTTTCCTTGTGTAGCCCTGGCTGTCCTCAAACTCTGAGAGATCTGCCTCGATTTGCCTCTGAGTGCTGGGATTAAAGGTGGGTGCCACCATATGGCACTTTGAACCCGAGATTTGATTGAATTTCTCCATTGTCATGGGAAAGAGTTAGAAGCAGTGTTTCCAGTAGGAAGGATTACATTTGGATAGGGTAAACACCATGAAAAGCCTCACTAGCAGATTATATCATAGTGTAAGTACAGGGTAAGAATAACTACAGTGTAACTACTTATTCCTTAGAATCCAGGCACCCCTCCCAACCAACAACCCCGATAAGATGCACCCTCAGCTCATGTGCATTTTCCATCAAGCAAATTTAACTATGGTTTATGTATACAGCTATGTACAAGGCTAACAAAGCTGCTCACTAGGTCATGTACAAGTTTGACAGGGGCATAATTCTTCATCAAAATTATTACAAAAAGACAAGTTATTTAAAACATTAGTGCTTAAATAAAAGTTCTGTGTTAGACTGGGGCAAGTATTAGTGGGCAGCAGAAAAAACAAAAACAGCCAATCTAATTGCATACACCTGTGGTAGGACTCAAGCACTAACATTTTTGAAAGACTCCTGTGTAAACCTAATATACATCTAGAGCTGGTGTATGTCTTTTGATTGAAGCTTGTGATTTTAATGAGGATTAAGGCAAAAGACCTATACATTCTGTTCTTGTGTGCCAAGCTAAATGGTTATAAAGAATTAGATGAGAGGCCCTATGAATCCTTTCTAGATCAAAGCCTAGCAATTGTTAAGAAATAGAAACTTTCTTACAGATTTATGTCTCCTCTTTTTGCTTTTCTTCTTATGCTTTTTTGATTTCTTATAACTTCTCTCTGTAGAGCACAGAAAGAAAAAAAAAGGTAAGAAAATGAGGAAATCAAAATGTCACGGTTTAGTTAAAAAACAAAACAAAACAAAAGACCCAAAAAACTCACCGGACTCAGCACTAGAAGAATGTTCTGAAGCAGAATGGGACTCTGATCGCTGTCTTTTTTTCTTTGAATGGCTGTCATCATCATCTGATTCTGATCCCTAAACAATACACATAAATTCATTCATAATAATGCTCACAAATATTTTGGTAAAATGTCACAGTCAATTTACATCCTTACCGATCGAGAACGGGAGCGTTTCCTATGGTGTTTTTTGGATTTCTTAGAATGTTTCTTGTTCTTTGAATGATGATGTTGGCATTCATGCTAGAGTGGCAAAAGAAAATTTTAAAGAACTGCACTTGTTTTACATAGCCAATCACACAAAAATGTTACAAGTTCAACACATGAGATCTTAAAAAAAATAATACCTTGTTAGGACAAGGTGCCCAATGACTATAAGAAATCATTGTTTTTCTTATTCTTATTAGCTATTCTACACCTTAGATATTTTACAAAATGAGGTGCTTTTTGTCAAAGGTTGGTAAGGAAAAGTATTATATCCTAGAAAGGTATAACTTCTTTCCATAATGATTAGATGTAATAATACATTTAGGCATTTTGTTTAGTAAGCTAAGCACTGATATAAGGTAAAACCTCACAGGCATCCTTAATGAGATTTACAAAACCTATTTCTCTTTCTTTTATCCTGAGAAGCATTTCCTACTTATTCAGACAGGGAATACTTATGTAATTGTGTTCGTAACAATGAACAACTTGTGGGCATGGGGACAGTTACAAAACAGTTCAGTATGTGAAGGTGCTTGCCACTAAGACCAAGACACACGTTCTAGCTCTCGCACCCTGACGGTAGCAGGAGAGAACTTCTGACTTCCAAATGCACATTGTGACTTACACATGTGCATACACAATCATAAAATATTTATGAGGTTACTTAGAAAGGAGAGGTGCTACAGTAAAAGCTGCTTATTCCTAATGCTTATACCCATGTATCAGAAAACACCACCTTTGGTCAAATAGAAATGGAAAATATGATTAAGAAGGAACCCATCTTTACTTTATCGCACTGAATGCTGTCTCAAGGCCTAATTTAACTGGTCTCAAAATCTGGAAGTGTTCAGCTCGTTTCTATGCTATCATCTTTAGCTTCATTTACCACCTCACTACATTAGCTCTAGTTCATAATCACCAAAATCACACAGCTGAAGATCCTATGTGTGTGATGTATACATGAGAATATGAGGACGTGGACTCATGCAGAGGACAGATGAGGACACAGGCATCTTCTTTAACTTTTCTCCTGAGACATGTTTCTCACTATATCAGAAATCCCTTGTTCTGACTATGGTGGCTGGCTGCGAAGCACCTAAGATTTACTTTTGGCCATCCCCTGTGCTTGGGTTATAGGCACACACAGCCATGCATGCTTTACTTTTTAGTGGGTGCTGGGGATTTAAACTGTTTTTAATACTTCCACAGCAAGCACTCTTACCCACCGAACCATCTCTTCAGCACCTGGAAGTTTCCTGAATTAAGAAAAGATAGGTAATACACTCTCTAGTGCACACTATCTCAAAATTCCAAATACAGTCAAATGTTTCAGAATCTGGGCATGATTAAAACTGATGCAAGATTTATGTGAATTGAGCCTGAGGTTCTATATTTCTGTGAGGATCCTATATAATACAAATGTTATTGGTCTAAGGTATATAAACAACTGAAGGCCAACAAGGACCAGTCATAGCGGTCATATGGCTTCATGGTAACAGAGCAATTTGTTAACATTGATGTTAATCAAGAACAAAGTCAAAAATAGATAATAATTTTATTACTCATGTGCTATCACACCAATACTATGATAAATGCATGCTATCTTTTGGCTTAAAAGTCATTAGTTGTCTAGAACTGACTTCATAGTGAACTTTAAAAAAAAACGTGTCTACACGTGTGTGGTCTCAGTTTGTGTGGGTGCACGTGTGTGCAAACGGACATGCCTATACATGGAATTCACAAGTTTACACTGATTGCTCTCCACCTCATACCGAGGCAAGGTATATAGCTCATTGGAACCCAGAAACAGAAGATTCTGATATTATAGCTAGCCATACCACTAGGATAACAGGCATTCTATCATATCCTCCCTGAATTTATGCATGTTGGGGCACATGAACTCCAGTTCTTACACTTGCAGGGAATGAGTATGCCTGTTTAATTGTCTCCTTAACTCCAATTGAGTCAAATAGCACAGCTAGAAAACCCTTTCCTGCAAGTTACTTCAAGTTGTCACAGCTGGCTTATTTGTACCATCACTGACTTGTTGTGAGAACTTAGTTCACACATCTAATAAGAGCACAGCTTCTGAAACAGTTTTATTTTTAGTTGTTTTCCAAGAAAACGTTAGGATATTCCCAGGCTCATTGTTAGCTACTAACTTATTATGTGGCTGACAAACAAACAGCAAATCTGATGCTAGCTTTCATATAGGCCATGCAAATCTGTTTTTCATTTGAAACAATTCTACAGAAAGAAAACACTCACTCTCCTTGATCAGAATTATAAAATAGCAGTGCATGTTAAGAAATATACTTGACCATTTTAAATTCAAAGTTTCACCTTTTATGTCACAATAAACTAAGAATTACCTCAAGCACATGCATGAAATCTTTAAATATTCTTTTTCTTTCAGATTCTAGAGTTATGTCCTCAAATGCTGGTTCTTTTACAAATCTCTCTCGGATCTGAAAAGCAATGACATGGAATGAATATATGATAATGCCAAGAAAATCTTATCACGACTAAAAGGTATCTGAGCTATAGGTAAAACTGTGATAAGCCCTAAAGTGTGTATTTTGTCTTTCAAAAAAATTCTAGCAGGTCAGGGTAGTGCATGTCTGGAGGCAGTATCAGGAAGACCTCTGAGATCAAGGCCATCCTGACCTACAGAGTCCCAAGACAGCAGGTGCTACCCCAAAGAATCCCTGACCCCAGGTGGTGGCGGTTGTTCAAACAATTTTTAACCCTCTCTAAAATTCAAATCACAGAAGACTTTGATATATCTAGTATGGTTTATGAATAATTTTAGTGTATTTCAACTGCAAGGCACAGCCCCCATTACAGACAATTTATTAGTATACATACATCTTCCCAAACAGCATCCAGCTCTATCGGAGGAGCAGCCTGTTTCAACATACTCTTAAATGCAGACTCTTTTCTTTTCATTTTCCGTGCTTCCTCTTTTTCTCTTTCACGCTCACGGGCTTCTGCCTTTTCTAGTAACTATCAAAAAATCATATCTAATAAGTTATGATAGTGTAAGTCCTGTTTCAAATATTCATTGTTCTGAAAAGCAGTATCGCAGTATCATTTATAAATGTTTCAACTTGACCTATAACAATAAAAGGTAAGACAGCCATCATTTTTATAAATTTTGTTTGACTTTACCTTATACATCCATTCACAGTATCTTATCCCACTAGCCTATAACTTTAAGTAATTTTTAGGTGAATAATCTAGATGTGTGATAATCAAACTTACACTATTGAAAGCCAACTTGATATTTCCCGCATCCAAAGTAGTTGATCTTTTTGTTGAACTGATTATTGCCACAAAATCTTCAAAAGTAGTATTTACTTCAACTACAAATCCTTTATCCTAAAAACCAGAAATCTTATTATAAGTAACACAAAACTCCAAGGAATGAATCAAAGTTTTCAAATAGGTAAGAACAAGTGTCTTATTTACCTTAAGAATGTCTTTTATTATCTTTTTTTCATCATGATAACGTGCTTTAAGATCTTCAACATAAAACTTGAAAAGATCAAGTGCAGTTGATCCTAATGAAAAAACTAAAGAAGTCAAAAAGCTAGCTCTAACCAAGAGCTGCAATTACTTTTTGTTTGTAAAACAAACATAAAATAAGGCACACACCTACCCCACCAACCGCTGCCCCTCACCCTCCACTCCACTCCAACTACCAGCTTAGGTATGGAAAGAAAAGAATCTCACCCGGCTGACCAAGCATATTAGTGAATCTAATGTCAGAACTAATAGTTGGATACAGTTCCATCCAAGAGGACATAGAATGTAGTTGTCCATGCTCATGTAATTCATCTAAAAATATCTGTATAAGAGGAAATAAATACATTTGAAAAATCCTTAGAAATATACAGAAACATGTTAAAACCTGTTAATAAAATCACAAATGCTTCTATTAGTGCTATCCAACATTTTTAGGTACAAAGGCAGAGGACCTAGGTTCTGTTTTTAACATCCACACTCAAAATCACTTCTAACTCCAGTCCCAGGGGATCTGAACATCAGGCAAGTACATGGTACATACACACATGTAGGAAGTAAACTCATATATATAATAAATCTAAAATTAGACATAAAAATACACTACTTTCAAAGTGTTTAAACTCCCATAAGAGCTTAATTGTTACACTCCTAAACTGTACTATAGCATGTTCTTTGGAAATCATATATTCATTATTCATCTTTTTCCCTCATGCTATTTTTCTCAGCTAAAATCTTATTTTCAAGTAGAATAATGTTTGCTATAGCCTTGTCTCAAATATCCAAGAACAATTTCTAAAATATAGAAATTCAAGAGTTTGACATATATGGTTCAAAGCAAAGTCTACTGGAAACAAGGATCTCAAAGCTGTTTTGATCCTTGTTGAAATTCAATAACTATATTACAGAACTAAACTCAAAAAGGCATTTTTCTATTACCTGGAAAGATTCCCTATTTTTACGCTGCCGCCTCCTTTCTCTCAATAAAGTCTTCTGTTTTTCTTCTTCTTCTTCCTTTTCTAAAGCCCGGATATGTTCCTCAAAGCATATTAATGCATCTTCTTTATCCATGTCTGAAGTATTTTTCATATAAAAAAGAAATAAATTTGAAATATTAACAAAGACAGCAGTTTAATGATTTGCATTAAACTCTACAAGTTCAAATTCAGTGCTCAAAAATACTTGCATTTGAACTTAAGACATGATCTTGTAATGATACAAATTTTAAGACTTCAAACACTACAAAGAATAAAGGGAAGCGCACATGTACATGACAAAATGAACTAACAGAACAATGTTATACTTAATCCCAAATAGATTTTCATTATTTTACTGATACAAATTTTTATTAGTTCTAAGAGTTTTGTGTGTATTCTGATGATATTCATCCCTCTGCCTCTTCACAGATAAACTCTCCACTTACTCAGCTAACTTTGTGGTCCCTACCACTCCACACTTATTTAAACCAGTCAAGAACAATGTCTTCGGGGCTGGAGAGATGGCTCAGCAGTTAAGAGCATTGCCTGCTCTTCCAAAGGTCCTGAGTTCAATTCCCAGCAACCATATGGTGGTTCACAACCATCTGTAATGAGGTCTGGTGCCCTCTTCTGGCCTGCAGGCATCCATGTACACAAAATATTGTATATATAATAAATAAATATTAAAAAAAAAGAACAATGTCTTGGGATAGAGGGTCTTCCACTTAAGGGTGGTCAAATTTATCAGGAGCTATATTTCAGAAAAAAACTGCCTCCCTCTCCAGCAGCCATCAGTAGTTGCTAACATTCTACAGCTACGCAAACTGCAGCCAACACCCATCTCCATGCTGCGATTTGCCTTATGCAGATGTGATTGCTGCCACAGTCACTGTTGAATTCCTATGTGTAGCTGCTTTACTTTGTTTAGAAGACACCAGTAACCTACAAACGGTTGACTTATTACATATTTCAATAATTATCTGTTAAAGGTAACTTGGATCTCTAGAAAAGTATTTTTCCCTAAAGCAAAATTCAATTTGAAACAACCCATTATAAAATAAAGTATTTTTTCCCAAAAATACAAATCCTGTGTAAAACTGAGCTGGCAACTGCATAAAAAGTCAGAGCAGTTCCACTGAGGGGTACTGCTTCTCACTATTTTCCTTATGTAGGCATTGTTCTTACTCTGTAACTCTTCATCCTCTGCAAACGTTGGGTTATCCATTAGATACTGCTGGGCTTCAGACCAAGTAGTAGAGTACGTAACATTAGCCATATTGTCAAGTATGTTTTTTAAGGCTTCCCAATTTCTCTTTCGTAACTGCTTTGCTTGTTCCTACAAGAAATGTTTGAATAATTCCTTTAACATTCAAACAAGGGATCTGAATTATAATTACTTAAGATATTCTAACATAAATGTAACATGCTTCATTTTCTTATTGTTCTTTCTTAATGTGTAGTAGAGTCCTTACCTTCAGTTTTCCATCACTCTTTGAAGATGGAATCCAAAAACCTGTATTGCTTTTCTATCCTCATTCCATAAACACACGTCCTTACCAGCATGCAGTACAGATACAATCCATGAGTGCTACGGTTACACTCACAACATGGAAATTCAGCTATGCTCAACTTTCAGTGACACATGCACTTTCATCTATGTGTCCTTCAATACTAGATGCAAAACAACTTAACAGATAAATATTGAATAAATCAGCACCACCATGATTTAATCACTTATTAGTATGTGTAACTAATATCTCTTAACATAGCTTCTAATGAATCAATATGATATACAACATACAAATACAACGTAAGAAATTAAAGAAACTGGTGTTATAACTTTTACTAATTTAAATAAGGAAAAAATCTTACGCAGAATGTTGAAACATTGGTAATTTAAAACGCACCTTTTCTTTTTTTGAAAGGAAGAACAAAACGTCTTCATAGATTTCAAGCCGATCACGTTCTGAAATAGCATTCCAAACTTCCATCTCCCCAAACATTTGCTCGGCTTTTCTAAAGATTATGAAATCAAGTGTTACTAGCTTACTGTATCACTATAATTTTAGACCTTTTTTTTTTTCTCAAAGACAGGCAATGGACATTCTCTCCACTATAAGCTCACAAATACAGTACTCAGGATAACTTTATAACACTCAATAAAATATTTAAAAAAGAGCAAAAGCCTCTATTTTCTCTTAGAACAATTCATATTAGGTAAGGCTTTGTATTGTAAATAGCCCTTATCCCCAACACCACTTTCTGCAGACTATAAAACAGGTAACCATTAATGTACTATGTTCATTCCCTAATTAATACTTTCAGTAAGCCTGTAAGTTAATGATTTTTTGGTATCTTATAAAATTGCTACATCCTCATTTACACAGCTGTTTTCATTAGCATCTATTTTGGATGAGACAGCAAGAAGCATGACAGGAACAACAGGGCCTACATCATTAAAAACCTTACTTGTATCTGGTTGTGGAAGTCATTTTCTCATGATTTTCTAGAAAACGCTGAAAAGATTCCTTAGCTTCTTTGTATTTTGATCTTGCTTCTTCTTTTTCCTCTTTCTCAGTCTGAACTTTATAGGCATTAAAAGCCTGCTTTTTTTCACTCAGCTTTGCTAACGCACTAAATAATAGAAAATATCATACAAGAATAAACATAAAGACTGGAGAATCAAATGCTAGTTAGTGCTTTAAAAAAAAGTGATGCATATATTAAGAAAGGGTCTGTAATTTATTAAAGATACAAAATTATTCTAAAGAGCAAGTTCTAGTGTTAAAATATTCTAATTTCATTTGGAACAAGGTGCTATAATTATAGGATAAGCCTTTTGGACTTTAGGCCATAGCACACATAAAATACTTCTATTTATGCTAATTACATAGCTATGAACAGCTGTTTATTACAAAGTTATACTCTCTTACACAATTTTAAATGTCCTAAGATTAATGTAAAGTTAATTTAAAAATTGCTGTATTACCTGTACCGAGGATCATTAATGATCATTTTCATAGCTTGTTCCCATGAAGCATTGGAGGGTACCCGCTGAAAATTATTTAAAAAAAAAAAAATTTTCAGAGAGAATGGTATTATAGGATAGCAAGTTTAACACTCACTGTAAGTATCAAGCACCCCCCTTTGCAGATTTTTTTAGTCTAAAATTTGCAATGAAGCAAATTTGTGATACAGTTATTGACTGAAAGAAAGTTCACACTGAAATTCAAACAGTATTTTTTGCATCACCACCAACTAAAAGATAAGCAATAATTTAAATAAAAAAGTCTTATTTATCAAGGCAAAAAATATGACTGTGAACTAATACCTTGTTGAATTTCCAAAAGCATTCTTTAATAAAAACACAACAAATTTAGTTTGTTTTCAGTTACAAAAGTTCAGATTAGTATTTTAAATAAAGGCACCAAAATGAACATTTATTAGTAATTATTAAGGGTTACTTAAAAAGTCTGTAATACCTTTTCTTTCAATAATTCTTTAAATGCTTGCTTTGCCTCCTCCTTTGTATTCCAAGTATATGTTTTTTTTGCAGGTTGGCTCTCTTCCTCTTCTTTTTTAGGAGTAAAACTAGAGAGAGAGAAATTTAAACATGCTATTCATAATTTTCTGCTTAGAAAATCATTTAACTGTTTGTGACCTAAAACTTGCCAATTTTTGGAAGAAAGTTTCTTATATGAACCCTGAAAATACAACTATCTGAAGACACTAAGTTGACCTGTGTCACTAGTCTCCAGGGTAATAAATGACTCATTATATTTATTCACATGTTTCATATTAGTGCTCTAATAAACCTGTTATTTTTGCATGTACACAGAAAGCTAAAAAGGGTATACAGAACAATCTACGTGATCAATTAGCAAAAGTCAGCTTAGTTAATTTTTTAAACATAGTATTAAGAGAATATAGCAATTAGCAATAATTCTATGTCTTCTTTTTGGCTGATTTTGTACTATGACACAAGCACCAAATCATTGTTTATAAACCAGAAGACCTTAAATATTATTTGACAAGTTGTGCATAAGACTGCTAAATTCTGATTTCAGAAAGAATTAATGTAATACAGAATTAGCAACAACTTGTTTGGGGTCCACTGAACTGAAAATAATTTAAACAATGGAAATGACACGGCAATAAATATGGCTATAAGAATGTAATATGTATGCACTATATCATTCTTTAAGTGTCCTTTACATAGAAATTAATTAAAATCATTAAAAGATTATAATTCAAGAGTTATAGTGGAATGTTTATTAGGAAAAAACTTTTTAAAACCATGAAAAATCAATTAACCTGCCTTCCATATTCATAAAAAAAGAATAAAAGTAATCATATAAAACGTCTGTGATGATCACAGAAATCGCTCATCATTTGTAAGCAATTTGATTACGCAACATACAACAGACTATGCATTAAAAGTAACTCAAATATATATATATGTATATATATATATATATATATATATTTGAAATAATTACATGTACTTATCATACCAAGTTGCAGAAGGTATTTTGAGCATCTGAGTATTTTGGTGCTCAAAAATTTCAATAATAAAATGTAGAATGATATTTCCGAAGCTTATGTCCTATCATTTAACCTTTATGGATACAGAAAATATCTTATATACATGTGTATAAATGCACACATGTACACGCCCACACAAAATGCTTAAAATTTATGCATAGTTAAGGTAAAAAGAATAAAAGAAAATGTTGCCTCTACTCTTAATTGCCTCCTAATGTACCATTTCATTTCCTTTTAATTATCTCAGTATTAAAACATTATGCAGCTATTGGTGAAATTAACAGGAGAGAAATAACACGGACAGGAGTAAAGATGGAGGCAATATGACTAAATATTAACTGGATAATAGTGTTTGGTCAGATTTTTCATCCATTTTTACCTTTTTTGTATATCTTGGCTCATATGGTAGAAAAAGGCAGTTTTGCAATCATTACAAGGAGTGTCTTTTGGTGACTCTTCTATAGAGTGCCTTCTCTTATCTGAGGCATTTTTCAACAAAGCTGTTTGTATTTTTCAATTTATTTACAATAAGCTTAAAAACAAGCACCACCAATAACCAAAAAGGAATGAAATCAAATTTAATTCTGTTCTATTTGGCAGAGCTTTTCACCTTCCAAAACTCATCTGTGCTCAACAGAAATCTATACTATTTCTTTAGCACTGGGAACAGAGCATATAAATCAGAGAAGGAAAACAGACACATTCCTCTAAAGAGCAAACTAACCAGGGCTTACTCCAAGCCTTTATTTAAAATACTGGAAGTTTGTAAACTGATTTTTTTTTTCATTTTTGCCTTGATTTTTATTTCATTGACTAAATTAACAAGTTCTTATAGTTAAGTCAGGCACTGACTTTCAGAACTCTTGAGTTATAAAACTTACTCGGTTACAGTTTCTTGTTTAGAAGGTTCTTCTCCAGCACTACTGGACATGTCACCACTTAGATCTTGAATAGCCGTGGTATTAGCAATCTGTGCTTGTTCTTCATTGGCTATAGTGACTGAATTTTCATTATCGACAACAGTAGCAACAATGGAAGTAACTTCAGGCTCAGGAGCAACTGGAACACTTCCGACAGTATTAGTAGGTGTGGTGGAAGTATTGGCATTAGCAGCTGCTGCAGCAGCTGCAACAACAGCAGCTGCTGCTTCTGCAGCAGCCATGGTGCTCATAGTGGTAGGAATTTCTGTTGTAGGAACTGGGGCTATGGATGTTGTAGTACATTCTTCTTGCTTGCTACACAGTAAAATAGAGAAACAGCAAGCGAGTGAATACAAGGTATGGAAGTGGGGAGGAAGAGAGAGAAATGGTCATTTCAATAACAGTAAAATTAACTAAAGCCAATCTTAAAATAATAACACTAAAGGAATAATAAAGGGCTAAACAAATTCATTGATAGTAAACTAAAAAAATCACCCAAAAATATCACAAAAAAGATAATATTAATTTTATGTTTGTTTTAGAGACTATCTTGCCATGATGCCTATGCTGGGCTCAGATGCATGTGGCTCTGACCTTCTTGAGTAGAGCTGGAATTAGTATTATATATGTTATCACTTCCAGCTTCTACCATTATTTGATTTAGCATACCTGCACAGTAACATGAAATAAGTGCCCATACAAATTAATTTCCTAACATTCAATTATTTCATGAAAATCTCAATCTGTTCTTTTGCATAATATCTTCTTTGACATATATCAAAAATAAGAACTTTAAATCTATATTTAAAAATTAAAGGAAAACTTTGTGGGCTGGGGCTGTGTAGCTCAGTATTTGAGGGCGAACATGCACAAAACCTTGGGTCTATTCCTCAAGACCATAAAATAAATTTAGTGTAATGGAGGACACACACACACACATTTATATTATCCCACTCATAATCTTCCAAACACATCAAACCATCAGCCTGATCCTGTTAAATAAGTTTTTTTAAAGAGGACAACTAAAATAAGAATGTCATGGAAAAGGCCCAAATTTTTAAACCCTAGTGTTTTTCAAAATCGCTTACCTGCTTTCTTCAGCTTTGATCATTGCTATTAAAGAAAAAAGAAGAGTCATAAACTAGTTTTTAAATAAAACCACTGAAAACAAAACTCTAAAAGGAGAAAGTACCATAATCTCATAGAATTTATCACCTGAAAAACAATTTAAAACTCACTTTAAAGAGCAAGTGTTTGCTTTCGTTTCCTCAAGGCCTCATTACAGCAATGAAAACTTGCCAATAGCAAGAGTTCAGCAATCTTTCCTAGTGCTGATACTTCAAAGGCTTCTGGCCTTGCAATCACTCTAAAAATACTCAGCATTTTGGAATACAATAGTATTGCCTCCAGGAATAAGACTATTTTTTAAAAGATAAAAATGTAAATTGGTATCATACTCATGAAACTCGAGCCCATTTTTCTTTTTTTTCCCATTTTTCATACTAGCACTTACAAGCAGATTAGCAGCTATGCAAACCAACAATTTGTAGTCATATCAGAAATGAGCTTGACACTAAGTGAGCAATTTGGGATACTATTGATAACATTATTAACTCATGCTCAGACAGTTTAGATAGAGCTTTAAAGATCTGAGCACTCAATATCTGTTTTCATTCTAGGCTCTGGTAAACTTTAAATTTGGTGGTAAGACACATACTTTAATTTCTTATCACTAGGAATGAGGCGCTCCATGTAAGCAATGATAAGCTTAAATTTATAAACATAATTTAAAAAACGTTATCACTCATTAAAATATTTCTGAAATTTTAACTAAATGCAAAAATCCCCCACATAACCTTCTGCTTAGCTAATCTACATCAGTTTATGATAAAAGATCGTATTTTAAGAAGAGTTCTTAATTACAATGTCCGCTATTTTATTCCGAGTATTACGCTAGATAACAATCTTTTCTAAATTTTGAAAGGTAGTGAATAGTTGACAATGTTTAAAACTATCCTTCCCTAAATGAAATATTTATTTACCCTAACTTTTAGATAAAAAGCATATTAATATTACATTTCATAATTAAAACAAAATCAGTATTTTATATGTATACTGATAATGTATGAACAAAATAATTGCTATTAAAGATCAACTACTACCCACTATCATTATTAAGCTTAATCACATGTTCCATGTATGCACCAACATTCAAAAGGATAATGAGTTTGTATGTCAACTTGTTCAACACAAAGTGTAACTTCAAAGCTCATTTATAATATAACTCTTAAATAAAAGTGATTGTTTGAATTAATGTCTTTCACTGCAGATTCATCCATTCAAGGTTAGTGAAAATTAGTGACAAACTTTAAATGTTAAATATAACAGAAAATGAATTATCAAAGCAGCTCACCATGCAGGTTTGATTTTGTAATAAGACCTCCAGCAACAATGGTATTCTGGTATCCTAGTTTCAATGGAATCAAATCAAATAAAGTCTATTTAAAATCTATAGAACTGAGATCTAGAGCAACAAGAAAATAAAGAGCCCAAAAAACTGTTACATCATTTAAAATGTGCAGACAATTTTTTTTTTCCAATTTGAATAAGGCCTTAGTTTAAATATCCCTATTCAGGAAGGGCTGTTTCTAAGTGACTGGCATATAGGCAACAATTCCCAATAGAGTTGTTTTCCCATCTTACCTTCAAGATCCTCAAGTTCCTTGGGTTTGGCCCAGCGGGACTCTTTTGTCTGAGAATTATAGTAATAAGGCTTCCCAGAATCAGATTTGTACTCTTTCCACGGGCATTTAGACAAGAGTTGCTAAAGAAGGGGAAAACATTCAGCAAAGAATAACATGTTCAGGACTGCTGACTATCCACTCATTTTCACTGAACATTGTCTACCTGTGTAACTCTAAATACCAAAGTTGTCAATTAAATTAATACACCATTTAACCTTTATAGTAACTCTACAGAATTTAGATTTTCTCCATTAATCAATATTACCTGAAGAGAAAGTAACTTGTCAAAGGTAAGAAATATACTTATAAGACACATTGTGAGCATGTGTGCATATGAACAAGAAATAAACAGGGAATAAAATGCTCTCTAACAACCTTCCTTCTCAAGCCATGTGTACTTTAGATGACTTGGGGGTGCAGGGAAAATACAGTTACTGTCGTAAGTTCTTTATTTAAGCTAAAAACGGAATACCACTGGCTGGGTAAAACTTACACTCTTCGGTGAAAAACATTACCTGTTCCTAAGCATGCTGACTTCTAAACATGCAATACTGCTTGCTTTAATGCTTCAAACTTAACTTCGTCATAGTTTATCTATTTTTAATGGTCAAATGTATAACACAAAATAAATACCCTTTCATAGGCATTTTCACAAAGAGAAAATATTATCTCTAAGACAAGACAGTATTTTATAGGCAGTTTCATTGCATTACATCATACCCCACGGTCAACTGGAACTGTTCACATAATTTTTAAAAACCAAACACATTTCCATTGAGAAAAACTGCTTTCCCCTTCAATTTATTCTTCAAGACATATTTGAACATAAGACAATAGTAAACCAAAAGTTTTTTATTAACTCTTTGTCACATGTAAGAACTGTTCTTCGGATAGCTTAATTTAAAATTCTATGGACTATACTCAAGCTATCTAACAATCCTGACTCTCAGTCTTCAAACATTTACCTCAGCAGGTGTTTTAAGATCATCTGGTTTTTCCCAGGTAGACTGTTTTGTTTCAGTATTATAATAATAAGTCCTTCCATCGGGTGATTTATGTTCTGTCCACATTGATTTCTAAAGGAAAAAAAAATTACTCAAGTATAAAATATCCAACAGTGGATATTCACATGAGTTACAAGGCAGCAAGCATACGAAAACACCACTTTTAAGCATAAAATAATTTTTTAACAGTTCAAATCACCTGAACTCACTTGTTAATGGACGTAGAGACAGAACATTTTAAAAATCATTCAAAGGTAGCGTTATACATATGACTGCCCCAGAAGAATAGCAGCATTGTATTTTCTGCATAACAAGATAACCCTCTAGCAATATAAACCTATCCCTATGGCCAACATACACAAAGTAAATACAGACATAATAAATATATAAAGGTGTATAAATAATGCATTTATCTAGTCTAATTTTAAAAAAAGCCAAACAAGGACTCAGACAATTTTCTAAATCAATCCCCTATAAAGACACAGTTTGTAAAACAAGAAAAAGCAAAGATGGTTTATTGCAAAAAGCACTACCAAGATGAAAAAGGGGGGAAGATTTTTCTGTGATAATAAATATAAATCTATTTCCAATCAAGGATCTACCCAAACAATTCAATAGTCTATTGAATTTGAAAATGAGTCCTCAGGTATGATATTTAAGTTGTTTGAGTTTTACAAGTTCTTCTTTTATAGGCATCAGCTTTTTAAGTGGTAACAAATTTAGCCATGTTCTATGTAGAGATGCTAAAAATAATCTACACTCTATTTTTTCAAATAGATTACTATGCACATCACTTAAGTAGAAATAAAACACAACTGATATCACCTACTTGTTTACAGACTGTTACACAGACAAACCATGTCTCAAAAAACAAACAAATAAGGGGGAGAGTGGGTATCCTTGTCTTGTTCCTAATTTTTCTTTCATTCTTCTGTTTTTATCTGATTTTGGTATGAAAATAATACTGGCTTTATGGAATAAATTTCTATGTACTGCTCCTTCACTTTTTATCTTATGGCACAAATGAAGAATGGGAATGAGCTCTTTCTAGAGAGTTTGACAGAATTCACAGCGACTCAGTCTGGTCCTATCTAGGCTTTTCTTCAAGGGGAGACTTTTAATCACAGCTTTAATATCATTGCTTGTAATAGGCTGCTTTAAGTTACTCACATTTTTGGAATTTAATTTTAGTAGGTGATACAGATTTTGAAATTGTTCCGTTTCTTCTGGGCTATCCTGTTTTTCAGATTATTCATTTTCACAGTAATGTCTAATAGTGTTTTCTTTTTAAAACTGCGGCTTCTTCTTATTCCTCCTTCCTTTTTTTTTGCTGCTGTTTTGAGTCAGTCTGTTAATGTAGGCCTAGCTGTCCTAGATTTCCTTTCTGTGTATACCAGGTTGGCCACAAAGTCAGAGATCCTCCTGCCTCTGTCACCACACTGGGCTCCCCTTTTCTTTATGTCAAACTGGCTAAAGGTTTGTCAATCTTGGTAACTTTTTCAAAGATACAGCTTTGCTTCCTCAATTTTGAATATTTTTGTTTTGATTTCAATTAATTCCTTCCCTATTCCTTAATTATTATCTGTAGTCTGTGTTTTGGATGAGCCAATTGTTTTAGCTAGCAAAGATCAAAAAATTTACTATCAAAAGTAAAAAACTACCATGTAAATAAGCAGGCAGAGCTATCCTTGTATCAAACAAAATAAACTTCAAGCCAAAGCTAATTAGGAGCAATAAAAAGAGAATATATTAGTCTGGGTTCTTGAAAGTTACAGAACAAATAGGGAAACAGTGGCTTTTAGATTTGTGGTACAGCTAGTAAACAATGGCTGTCTGTCAACAGAAAGTCCAAGAATCAAGCAGCTGTTCAGTCCAGGAGGCCGGATGTCACCAATGCTCCAAAGTATATGCCAGCATCAAAAAGTAAGCTCTGATACCAGTGAAAGAGGAACTTGTCAGTCAGGATGAGGGCAAATAGGCAAAGAGTGAGAACATCTTTCTTCCATATCCTTTATATAGGCTACCTCCAGAAGGTGTGACCCAGATTTAAGATGGATCTTCCCACCCTAAGATCTGGATTTAGGATAGTTCTTTCCACTTCAAATGATTTAATTAATTCCTACCAAGTACACCTAGCTGCTTAGTTTTAGTTTTGTTTTTTTGTTTCTTTATCAGATATAGTTGACAACCAAGAATTTTCATATCAGGGCACTACATATTAATAGAGAAAATAATTCAAAGATTAATAACTGTGTGCTATAGGAAGTATTATGGCCAGTGGTTACCCGCACACTGGGGCTAATGTAGAGCATGCATCTGCGCTCTCTTTCCGGTTCAGTTTCTATTCTCTGTTCAAGCAGAGAATTCTGATTTGTGAGTTTACCCCTAAATAAATAACCATCTATTTCTCAATTCTGAGCTAGTGTGGGATTTCCCATAACTGTAGACATTTATGGACCAATACTGGAGTAGAGCCCAATACCACGAAACAAACACCAAAAGATAAGACTACACAGGTCCTAACAAATAGTGGGGGTTTTCAACTACGCTCCCACATTTAGAAAGGACTTCCAAATTATGAACAAACAATGAAATCTCATAGCTAAAATATATTATGGATAAACTAATACTCCAATCAAGAGACAAAGAAGCATCAGGACGCATGAAGAGCGAGAGCGAGAGAGAGAGAGAGAGAGAGACAAAGAAACAAATATTTGGAGAGTAAACAATGCTTTCTTAAATGAATAATCAGTCATCCAAATAACCAGAGAAAAATATAACAAATTCAGACAAATGATAATGAAAATACATCAAATCAGCACCTTCGAAGCACACAGCCGGCAGCCTAGAAAAGTTTAAGTGATGTTTTAAAAAAAAAGATATCAAAAGAGACAACTTCATTACGCACAAGGATCTCAAATACATTCTTAACACAAGTGATTAATGTTTTAATACGCATCCTCACATTTTTTGCTAATATTACTCATACTTTATACCATGGAAATGTTAGACAAAATGTAAATTTTCTTAATTGAATTTCAAGTGTTGATAAAGCAGCAAACAGAACTCTAATAAACATCAACATTACATTTGTTTCAGGAACTGCTAAAAAAAAATACAAATAAGACAGGGGAGAACTGAGAAGTCTGCAAAGGAGAGGAGAATCTTGAAGATGAGAAGCTAGGGGGCTTGGATATCCAAAGCTAATAAAGATCAAGTGAGCGCAAGCATCCATGATGATCATTTGTTAAAAAGTGACCAAAGAGTTCAGTATGGAATATTCAGTAGTCATTTGGTATTTGAAGAAAATTGGAATTGATTATTTTTGATTTCGAGACAGGGTTTTTCTCGGTAGCTTTGGAGCTTGTAGACCAGGTTGGACTCAAACTCAGAGATCCACCTGCCTCTGCCTCCCAAGTGCTGGGATTAAAGATGTGTGCTACCACCACCTGGCCTGAAAAAGTTTGATTTTTAAGTGGGTGGGGTACCTCATGAACTAACCAAAAATTAAAAAAAAACCAGAATCTCCATTTCCTCCTATTGTATGCAACAACCAAGAAATCATTTCTTAAATAGATTATGATGTGCTATAACAAATGGGCTTATATATGACAGTCAGCAACGACCAGCTCAGTGGTTGGACTCAGAAGTTCCAAAGTACTTTTGAATGTCAAGTTTCCATCAAAAAATGGTCCTGTTCACTGTTTGGTAAATCTGATCTACTACAGCTTTATGAACCCACTGTATCTGAGAGGTGTGTTCACTATACTGATGAGCAGTTTTTATAGCTGTACTAAAATACTCAAAAGCCTGCAGCTAGATATGATTAACAGAAAGGTCTCAACCCTTCCCCAAAATGTTTAACAACATATGATATAATCAACACTTTGAAAACTGAATGAAGAGTTGTTAAGTTCATTATCTAGTATCTGATCACTTGGCCAACTTAACTACTTCAAACATGCTGACAGCTTTTTGTAGGGAATACACACTTCTACAATCAGCAACACGGGGAAAATGCATTCCAAGAGTTCTACTGAATCTGGAAGGACTTTTCACACAATGGGAATAAATTATTTTCATTTTTTTGAGACAGGGTTTCACTATGTATCCCTGGCTTCCTAAAACAGTCTGTCAACTAGGCTAGGCTCAAACTCAAGAGACCCTCCTGCCTTACCCAGACACCCCCAGAAATACACCTCATCGATCTTTCTACACGAGTCTCCATAAAGCTCAGTTTACAATGACAATCACAACCGAGGGAACAGGTTACAGAAAAAGAAAAAAAAAAGATGAAAGCAACAAAGAAACCCTCATGAGTATACAGGCATTTGGATTGACAAGTAGGCCTAACAAAATAAATTGTAAATTGACAGCTTTGATAAATTATGCCTGGAAAACTAGGTGGGTAGTGAGTCACTGAGAATGAAACTGGGTCATTTTTTCTTACTTCATAAAAGTCCTCAAAGTGAACTTATTGCAAGACCTGAACTACTGTAATTAATAAAAGAAACACTTCAGGATAGTGACAATTACTTTCTGAGTAGGACTCTACTTCAGAAAATCATACAAAAAGTGACAAGCAGGAATTTATCAGATTAAAAACTTATGCACAACAAAAGAAGCAACAGGGTAGAGAGACTAAGAATGGCAGAAAATCTTTGCCAGCTGTTCATCTCACAGATGAGAAATACCCCAAATTAAGAACCCAAAATTAAGCACCAACAACATGTGGATAAGTGAACTGAGCAAATATTTTGCTGCTTTTTGAAACTGGGTCTCTCTGTGAAGCCCTGGCTGTCCTAGAACTAGCTATGTAGACCAGGCTAGCCTAGCTTCTACCTCAGAGATCCACCTGCCTTGGGCTCCCAAGTGTTTGTATATGCATGTGGCCACCATACCCAGAAAGCAGACAATTCTTAATGACAAAAGACTCATAAATATATAAGAAAATAACTCAATATCCTTAACTAGGAGGGAAATAGAAAGAAGTTCTAACTCCTGGCAGTCAAAACTGGAATTATCAAGAAAAGAAAAAATACCATCAAACTACAAATGTTGTCAAGGTTGGAGACAGGAATCCTCATCTACTGTTGCTCTTCAAAAAACTAAACTAGGACTCACTATACCACTTCTCAGTTATATTTCTGAAGGAATCAAGTCAAAGCACAAGCGAGTGCTGCACACTCACATTTAAAAACGACACCCTCCAAGACAGACAAGTTTTGCATCATTCTGGGTTCCTATAAATATTGGAGAACTTTTATAAAATAAAAATAGTGACTTATTTAAAAAGGGACAAACCAAAGGAGGATAAATATATTCTAAGTTTATTATATGCATACCTAAATATATCATAATGAAACCCATTATTTAATGAAAATAAAAATACATTTTCTTGATTTTGTCCAATCTAGTATTTTAAGGAGAAAGTTTTAATATTCTGTCTGTTTACAGTAAGATGAATAGTTTAAATCAGTAAGTCAAATACTGACAGTTGAAAAGTTTTCTTCACAAGATAATGCAAGTTAAGTGTTACGAAACTTGCTATATTAATGTCTACTATTAAAAACATGAAAACAAATTAAAAGCAATTTTCCTAGAAGTTAACACAACTTTTTAAAAAGTATGAGACTCCTAAAAGGACTTAGAATATGTACAATTCAACAAGTTTATTTTGGAAAAATCTAACAAAGATTTGCATAAACACTTCTAGGAAAGTATATGAGCTTCTGAGACATTATAGGAATTACATAACATTCTGCCTAAAACAGTAAAAATTCTACTTCAACCTTCCTTGGCTTCACCTCTTTCTTACTCCCTGACCATGTTGATTTTTTCTTGCATGTACAGCAAGGTAATGTCTTTGGTCATGCTATTAAATAGCTCAGTGGCACTAACCACAGGTCAAACAAATAATCATCAGACCTTATATTATTCAGTATTCAAAACTTTATGAAATATACATTTCTTTTCTTGCCTTTGGAAGATGGGGGTAGGAGCACATTATAAACACACCATTTTTGCAAATGCAGATACAGGCCAGAGAAGGACTTTGAAGTCTATCACTCTCTGCTTTACTCTCATAGGGAAACATCAAGTTTACTATTTTGTTTAGTTCAGCTAGCCAGTTAGCTCTTGGGACTCTCTTGTCATGGCCCCCAATGCTCCGATTATAGGAATGTACGTTGAAAATAAAGATTTAAAATCAGGTTCTTATGCTTGTAGAGCAAACACTTTTACCTACAGAGCCATCTCTCCAGCTCCAAACATTTTTCGCCCCCCAGCCCCCAATTCCTGTCTTTTTATTAACTCACGCACAACTCCTTGTCTTCTGGGTTGTTGAAGAAGTTAAGTCAGACACGACTTGCCACAGTAATGTCTGTCAAAGTGACTGGCCATGCAATCTCCAGCACCGCATGCTGTGGGACAATGGTTTTACCCTGTAAACATTTGTTTCTTGTACTTGTTTAATAAAATGCTGATTGGCCAGTAGCCAGGTAGGAAGTATAGGCAGGGCGACCATGCAGTAAGTAGAGACAGGGCAATGAGAACAGGAGAATTCTGGGAAGAGGAGTCTGGCAGTAGTGACCCAGCCACAGAAGAAGCAAGATGTGACTGTCTCGCCGAACAAGGTACCAGACACATGGCTAACATAGAGAAGAATAATGAGCTAATATAAGTTATAAGAGTTAATAAGAAGTCTCAGCTACTAGGCAAATCAATTCATATCAAATCAGTTTATAACTAATGTAGACCTCTGTGTGATTTCTTTGGGACTTAATGACTGCAGGAACCGGGCAGGACAGAAACCTCAGACAACAACCGTATTCTTCAGGATAATCTCAAAGGCAGCTCATTTTGCATTTTCATCCACCTTATTTTTTCACAATATTTCAATGTGTGTTTCAGCACAGCCAACTTAACCTTTTTCATTTGCTTAAGTCTTCTTGAGAATGCTGTAAGACTTTTTCCTTTTCTTGGCACCACCATGAAGTCCCAACACAGGATGAAGGGTAGACGCCTTTTGAATGCTGTAGTCAAAGTATGGCATCTTCCAGCTGCTTACCAGCAAGGAGCAGCCTTAGCCAATCAGGAGGAATTCCTTCCTAAACCTGGATTTTACATTTTTCTATAGCATCTGAGGGTTCAACCTCAAGGGTGATGGTCTTCCCCATAAGGGTCTTTATGAAAATCTGTATGTTGGTAGTGTTCCACCACAGGTGGGCAACTGGAAAGCCAAAAACCTGTTTTCTTTATAAAAGTAATTGGCCTTGGTATTTTGAGATAGTGACATAAAACACAAATAATCTCTCCCAACTCTCTAAAATAAAGATTCTAAAATAAAGCTTTAACATTTGGCATGAAAAACTGAGGACCGGTTTAGCACATAATCTTTAGAAAACAAGGATCAATGTAACATGTTTAAAAAATGTAAGGAACAAGCAACGGGTTTCAATAGTACTTACTGCACCAGATGCGGCACCTAAAAGACAAAACATTTAAGCGGTAAATGACACGCTCCTCAGTAGGTCCAATACTTATTTCTTCCTTTCTATTCTTATTAAAGCTCATGAGTTGTCCTTTATTTCCTGTTTACTTGCTTCCCATTCAACAAAGAAAACAAATGAAACATCTATAGCATAAAGCATTTTTAAAACTCGAGTTTTCAATCTCCAAAGTTAACTGTCAGCTGCCAAAATGAGAAACATTCATCTTGCTCTTTGGCTATCTGTCACTCTCACTTAAATTCCTTTCTTTCTTATATATGTTATTAAAATACAATAATGCCTCTCTATTCTCTAACTTTTGTCAAACTCAGTTACTTTAATCTTATGCCTGTGCTGTCATATAGCACCATACTCATGAGATATCACACTTAAAATTTAAATTACAATGAAATAACTTCTTCAATTGTACCAGCCACATTTCAAACTCAATTACATGTAGCTAGTAACAACTATATGACAACAATTATAGGTTATAGTATATTTCTACCATTGCAGAAAGTTTTGTTAGTGTCCTACACTACCCCCCACACAAAGCTTTATGGCATAAGGGATTTTCAGGTGTTTATTAGTGACAAAGCTCATATAAATAATTAATTTCTAACTTTAGAAACTAGGCAACTTAAAATTTTAAGTAAAAGAGAAAACAAAGACTGTAAAACAAAACAAAGGCTCACATATATGGAAAGCATTCAACTGACTAGAAATATCAACAATAGAGCCAAAGCATTGGAAAAGTAGGTTGACTACAAAGACCAATGAGGTAACAGTCATTTTTGTTGTTATGACTTAAGAATGCAATTATAAATGCCATCTGTCTATCGTCAAAAACTGCAAAAATACAAACCAATCATAAAGATCATTTTAAAAACTAATTTTATATGAGTGGTTTGTCAGAATATATGGATGTACAGTACATTACGCCTGGTGCCCAAGGAGACCAGAAGAAGGCATCAGATTCTCTTGGAACAGGAATTTCAAATGGTTGTTAACCATGTGAGAATGGGGAAAGGATGCCAAGTCCTCTGAAAAAATAGCAAGTGCTGAACCCTTCAGCCCCAGATAACCACTGTCATTCGTTGTTCTAATATGGAGTCCAACATACACTGTAGACATACCTGCAGCTACATCCATACTGTTTACTCCAGGCTGCAAGAAGAGACATTAAATTACTACCATTCAAATTATTTAAACTACATTTTATAGAAATATGGTACAATGAATCAATTCCATGTGTAATCTATAAGCCACTAACTCAACAACCATAAAATTTCTAGTGGTCAACTCTCAGGCTTGCTATACGTTTCAAAGCATTTTAAGATACTACATGGTTATTAATTGTACAGAGAACCACAGGCCTTCCCTCTCAATTCTGAAATCTACAAAGCTCTGAAAACCAAATCTTATTAATTAGTCAATGAAACTTATCAATACTAACATATCAGAAATAGGGGCAAAGACTCCACAGGATATTTTTGTAATGTAAATATATGCAAATCTTAAAAATGTCAATAATTTGATTAAAACACCAAAATCTTACTATTCCAATTAAGTATGTCATACCTATTAATTAAAACCAGTAAGCTCTCAGGAGTTTATACTAATATCATATTTATATACCAAAATATTACCTAAGTATAACAATTAAGTCTATTCAAGATCATACCAAGTTAAATTGTAATAGCTGAAGTTTCAATAAAAGGGGGATTTCAAATTAAGTGTTCTCATTTTTAAGTTGAATATCAATTTTTACTAGCATTTAATAAATGTCACCTTTGAAAATACAGACTACCACAGTGGTTTTCTCTCACAATTTAAGTGCCTTGTTTCTTACAGAATTAATTTAATCATTGAACATGTACATATGTTGCAATGTAATGCTCAATTATGATTTCCATGTTATATTTTAGTTTTAAGGTGTCCTACAAACTACATGCACATTATTACTCACATATGAAAGCAATCAGAACTCAGAAAAGAATTATTTTCACAAGATTACCAACCGGTAAGGCAGGTTGCATGGAAGCCTGAGACATATGAGACATCATCATTCCTGACATTACTGAAGACATCATTCCAGGCATCTAAAATAAAAGTTAAAAAATGGTTACCATGTAGGAACAAAACACTTTACAGGATTGCAAGTATAATTTAAGAAACAATGTAACCACTGAAACTATGCTACTTTATGAAACGAATAATATGCTTGCTTAGTAAGTGCTTGTTGAATGAATGAAGAATGCTATACTGATACTGCTCTAATACTTACGTCATAATTCATTTGTATGGTAACAATATTTAAGTAATTTAATTTACTTAGTTAATTTAAATAAGTATTAAGAAGACAGACTATATTAGTCTAACTTAAAATTGAGACTATTCAATTCAATTGAACACTGATTCTCCTTTCTTTGAAACAAGAGACTATAAGACAAAAATTTTTCATAATTTTCACCTCTTATTCTTATCTGTACTAAATAAATTTGATAGTAATCTGGTCATTTTCATAATCTTAGATCTTTGGTGCTTAAAATTTAAACACTGATTTAAATAATATATAAATAAAAACCCTAAGTACAGAATAATCCTAAGTACAGAAAAGTACGTAAATACCTGAACATATACTAGTTTGTGAGAATTTAATTTTATCTACTAATGACTGGAACTAAAATCTGAATACATACTAAGCATGAATAAAAATCAGATTGTTTCTTTTCTAAACAATTTGACTCAGTATTCATCTATATTACAAAAAATAAAATATATAGTCCTATATTAGAATTTGACATTAATACATAGAGTATCAAAGGATCTAAGAAACTTGGAGGACAAAAATTGTAATAACCATGAGTATTAAAGAAGGAAACTGGTTATTCAAGCTTCAAGTTAAATGAATAAATTATAAAATAGGAAAAGTATAAGCACATTGGTCAATCTAAAAATATAAAATTAGGGAAGAATTTCTATGTGTAGTTTTATTACTTGTTAAAATTAAAAGTGAAACAGGTTGTAACACCTGTAGGCTTGCATGGGGTTAACTGATTGAAAAAAAGAGATAAAAATTATCTACTGGACAGAAATTATAAGCAGAAGAACGTGATGATTCTTGGAACATATGGTCAAAATAATATTTTATAAAAAGCATAGAATTTGAAAACAAGCACGGACATCTTCAAAACCTAACTAAGAGATTAAAGAAATAACATATCTTATGAAAAAAGCAGCAGCAAACATGGAAGAGTTATGCTTGCTTCCAAAACCATCTACCCTTCAGAGATGCTCACCACCATGCTTTAGAAAACAACAGCGAACTCAACAGATAACTTGTCATGAGAAGCACTTCAAAAGCACAGCAGAAAAGTTTAAAATGGCATATATATATATAAAACAAATAAAAAACTACATTCTGAACTAAAACCCTAAGATAATTTTAGAAGTGGAAGTTTAAAAACCTACAAAGAAAAATAGTACTTTCTAAGGAGGAAAAAGTACTTTAAAAAGTAGAGTAAGAAGAAAAATCTTCACTAACTTAAGAGACCATTCATAGTATCAATAGACTGAGCAAACTAATATAACTTCAGTTAACTATTGATTATAACATAAAGACAAAATCCCACTGTCCTTCCTATTTCTCACAATTTAAAACATTATTCACGAGTGTGGAAATCAATTATGGCTAGAAAATAAGACCGATAGGAAATACAGAGCTACAGTCCTGTAGTTCTTAAGTCCTGGCAGGCAGAGTCTAGTTACATTTGTTTTACCTGACAAAGCTATCTGTGAGCTTTTATTTTATGTAAATAAATATTCTAAAAGTGATGGTATGAATATGAAACTGAAGAACATCAATATATAAGATACTGTATCTCATACATATTGCTTCACATGGAGGGTGGTTTACCTAGCTCTAACTGTAAAGTCTTTTAGATTTCCTATTTGGGACCACCACCTCCCATTGTTAATGTTTACTAAAAAAGGAAAAACTCTTAGTTTAGTTGCTATGATAGTATCATAACAATTTCAGGAAACACACCACTTTCTAAGTACAAATGGACATTCACATTAGCTTAACATGAAATGTATTATAATACATTTTATAAAATCAAAACATGTTGCTTTTTCTATTTCTAGTACTTTGGCCAATATATAAAGTACTATAATAACCATAAGTTTTAGTTATTAAGACCAGAGACAGAGTGTTTGAGGAAAAGTGAACACCAAGAAGCAACAGCCAATGCTCTTAACTATCTCTCCAGCCCTGGAGTGGAGAAAGTTTTAAAGCCAATTATCAGTATGTATTCAAGCCAGGTATTGTGGATAACCCCTCTAAATAAATTCCTGTTACTACACTACTGGCCAAAGAAGGAAAACCAAAAGTTCATAATCAGTATGGGCAATCTCCCCAACAGAATATTCCCTAAAAATAAAAGTACGACTGCAGACGTGAGATTAATAGTAGAGCACTTGTCTAGTATGCACGAGGTCTTGCAATCAGTGACCAGTACTAGGAGAATAAGATATTCAGAAGCAGCACAAGTTTGAGGACAATAAATAAATGAGTAAAACAAAGGCCCACATACAACCTACTCAATTGCTTTTAGCATCCCAGATAGTTTCTCGTTGTAGATATGTGTTTTATTTACCACTTTACATACTTAAAAAAAAGAACAGTAATAAAAGCAGTATAAATGCCACAGAAATTGAACAAGGTCTGGAGAGATGGCCCAGCAGTTAAGAGCACTGACCACTCTTCCAGAACCCTGGTTTAATAACCAGCATCTACATTGAGGCTCACAATCATCTGTAACTACAGACACAGGGGATCTGATGTCCCCATATCAAAATAACAAAAACAAATTAAAAAACAGTACAATAAAGACAGTACATTTCTGTTAAATATCTAAATAAAAAAAGGTAAATGGTGTTTTTATAATTTGTTAACACGAAGAAAACATTTACTAAGACAATTTCACATACCTAGTTTTGTTTATTAAATACAACCTATGGAACTTAGAAATTCTAAAGTAAGTAAAGTAGTTCTTTCCATCTCTAATCTGTGTTTCACATCCCATATTCAGTAACCTATGATCAATGTAGGTCTGAAAATATTACATAAAACTTTAGGCTTAGCAACACTGTGTGTGTGTGTACAACTTCAAATAAACCTCATTTTACTTAATAATGGCCCCAAACCATAAAAATAAACAGTAAACATGTATAAGGTTCAGTTTCAGGAATCCACAGGAAATCTTGGAACACATATACCTAATAAGAGAAACACTTTATATCTACCCTTCATGCTCTGAGATTAACTGAATTGATTACATCTTACAATTTTACACAGAGAAGCAGCCTTGCACAGCTATTAAGTCAGACTAGCAAAATTCCTATCTTAATTTGACTACTTAACAGCTTTGGGAACTTGGACCACTTTGACACTGACCTCTCTGGACCTCAATTTCTCATCAACAGCAAAAATATTACCTGATAGGACTTATTTTAAGCCACCAATTGCAAAAATGAATGTAAGGCAATTAAAATTAGTGCTAAGATATAACAGCCACTAGAGTTTCCTCACAGTATTCACGGTTCTAGTACTACCTAATAATCGCTAACAAAATCTCCAAATGTTTAACTCATATAAAATGGCACCGTATTTATATAAAAATCTATGCATAATCCTGGTAAATTTCAAATATCTAGATTTCTTATATTACCTAATAAATATCAAACGCTACATAGTTTTTAAATTGTAAAAATGCCAGAACACATTCAGTATAGACACAAATCTTTCTCTAAATATTTTTGAATGGTCAATGGTTAATCTACATGCACCAGCACCTAAAAACATGAAAGATCAACCAACAATATTTTATTTTAACTCTTAACCTTTCACAATGAATGAACTTTTCATTTAACTTTTTCCTCAGCCATTCCTTCTCTATTTCTCATTTGCTTTGTTCATATTCTTCATTAAAGGTATCTAGCAAACAGCATGAACTCTTTTATAACCTTGAATAGAAATCAATAGTACATGTAATAAGAAGTCATCCCAGATTTAGTATCAAATTTAATGCTGGCTCCGCAGTGTTAGTGTACAATTCATTTAACTCTCTAGACCATCCAGCTACCAAATGTACCCTTGACTAATAGGCAATTTAGTTTTCAGAAAGGGAGATTAAATTCAATAAGGATTATGAATTTCTCAAAGTTTATATAGACATGAAGACAGAATTTATAATCCTTTACAACAGGCAACATAAATTAAGAAATGTAGCTGAATAAAAATGAATACCATTGTATTTTTTAAAGATAGTTCTAAATTCAATTAGAGAAACAGAAAATAGTGGTGCTTAAGTCTTACAAAATTAAGGGTTTTAAATTTTATACTAAAAAATATAACTTAAAGCCGGTGGGACAGAAGACCATTATAATCTCCTTTTCACGTTCTTCAAGCTATAACCAATAATACACCTATCTGCATCTTTATACTTTGTTAGTATCAAAGGGTAATCTATTAACATTAAATACATCATGTAGAGACAGACTCACTGATAAATACAACACATAATTTTGCTGTTACACAATCCTAGCTGATATTTGTTTTTGTAAGTGAAGCACATTCTAAACCAATAAAAAAAGATATCATAGTAAACATATAAATCAGCAAGTCTATTAATATCATTACTAACTTAAGTATTATGTATTATAGATGACTTGTCTTTATTATGACTGGTACCGTAAAATATTACCATAAACACATGAGCAGTGTTTTCTCCTATGACCACAAAACAGCTATGTCACTGGGCCATTACTGTACTGAATACTACAGGAAACTGTAATACAAGTATTTGCTTATCTAAATAAAGGAAAAGTATATAGTAAAAAAATATAGTAAATCATAAATTTTCAGGTCCACTCTCATCTTATGAGACTACTATCATGCATGCAGTCAGCCATAAGCTAACTGAAACATTATTATGTAGCACACAGAAATTAATCAAGTCTCATTTACAGAGACAGCAACTTTCCTAGACTACATGATGAAATACACCATTCCAAACCCATTGTCAAAAGGAGCTTA